TCTCTCTCTCTCTCTCTCTCTCTCTCTCTCACATTCACTCTTTGATCCGGTGAAATAGCAGGCGCAGTAGCGCTCGTGAAGGCACCCTTATGTCCTCTTGTAGAGGCCGGTTGGGTGTGTGTAAGTGCGTGTGGAGGCAGATTTGGTGGGGTGTGTGTGGGTGCATCGCGACTGGTGTGTGTGGACGCGAACGGGTGCATTGTGCGTGCGTGCAGCAGTTGAGTGTGGTCTTGGTTTATATGAGATGTTGACGCCGCTATGGGAGGCGGTGGTGGTGGTGCTACTGGTAGAAGCAGTGGGGATGTGGTAGTGCGATGTGGGCGAGGGAAGGGGGTTAATCTGAGTGTGTGGTGCGGTGCGTGATGTGCAGTTGTAGATCTGTGCGGTGTGGTGGTGGTGGTCAGTGGTCACAAGTGATTTGGTTGATTGTAACCAATAATTGGGTCGGTGTATGACAAATGAAATAGATAAACTGCGACCAATGTATGCTGTGTGATCTAAAAATTATTAATGTTGACTGTTTGGTATAGTGGTGGTGGTAAAAACGTTGGCTGCGATGTTTGAAATTGTGATTTTGTTGTTGGGGGAAGTGGTGGTGATGGTGATGGGTGTTGGCGGCGACTGTGCGTTTATGTGGTGTTGGTGTTGGCGGCGGTGGTGTGATTCTGTGGTGTTGTGTTGGTGGTAGTCACAAATGATTTGTTGATTGTGACCAATGAATTGATTGGTGTGTAACCAATGAAGAATAAATTGTGACCAATAAATACTGTGTGACCTACTAATTTTTTATTTTGTTACTAATTAAAGTAATCCGTGACTTATAATTTGATATTTTGTGACTATAAAATAAGTTGTGTGACTTATAAATTTTGTGATTTGTAACCAATAAACAAATTGTGACTTTTAAATTTTTAATTTGTGACCGATGAACGAACTATGACCTATAAAATTTTTGAATTGAATTTATTGAAAACCTGATTTTTGAAATTTAAAACCTCAAATCTTAATTTTGAAATGGTGATACGTAAATACCTTATTTATGTATTGTTCCCAAAATTTTACCACATTTTCATTCACATTCTCTTTTATCATCCATTTGTTGGACCAGTTTACGCCCATAGCTCATTGGGCCCGTATGAATGTCCAAGCCTACAAAGATTGGGATGAGAAGATCCAACATTTTCTTTTTCGGTTAACATATTGAAATATTGTTAGAAAAAATTTTTGATGGATTTTTTTGATAGGGTAATTAGCATAATATGTTACTTATGGAGTTTATGGTGCAAAACGTTGTATTATTTTATTTTATTTTTGTATTTTCACCCATATTTTAACCTTTCATTGCTGAAATCTTATCAATTTTCATTTAATTTTTCAATAAAAAGTTGTGAAATGACGAATATATTTTCTTATTTAAATAAAATTTTAAAAAAAGGAAAATAAAAAACTAATTGTAATAATAATTTTAATTTTTTTAAAAAAAATGCAAACAAGTTTCAAATAAATTATTAAAAAAATAAAAACCTCTTTTCTT